ATCTGTGTTACATGCACTGATAACCCTATGAATTTTAGATTACTGGGGACAGAAATGTTCTGTTTCAATTAATTCTCTGTCTCCGCTGTTCAGTTTAAATGTATATCCAGAAAATCTATGAATTTAATGCCAAGTATCTTAGTCCCTTTCTTGGATAGGTGCAAAACATCTCTTTTGTACAGTTTTTCATTGGACCAGCTACAGGCATCATGACTAATAAAACCAAAGCCCTCCCTTTTACTCCACTCCTTTAGCCACACATTAAACTCTGTTACATGGTGGCCCTTTTTTTTGTTCCTTATATACTGGTAAAACCTCTGAAAAGATAAGTCTACAACCTATACTACTAAGTTCATACCCCAAGCTCTGGAAATCATTCTGCACAGAAAGTACATTTTTGTGATAGATCATTTGTGCTTTGATGTTTTGGCTGGTGATATTATGTCATCAAAACTGACCGGAGTATGCCTTGTACAATGTAAATAAAGATGATTTGTCAGTGTCATGCCTGTGTCAGGATAGCTAGTAAGAGCAGTAAATTGTATGGCAGTATAGTTTTCTAGCACCCCAAAGACTGATGGAAAGCATGGACTCAGCCATGAGGAAGAGCACTTAGGCAGCAGCAGTTATCTTGGCTAATTTTATGATTGAGATGCAGGGATTGTATCTGGGACCTTTCCTGTATAAATCATATACACTAAACTAGAACTCTTTTTTCCTTGAAAGTTTGAGATCTATCATTGAATAGCATAGCTTTAGTAAATTTTGTAACCTTTTTTTTGATTTCGCAAAATCAAAATTGTATGTTGGAAGCATGTTCTTTCCCATAAAGTCTGTCCTATGGATTTAAAATTGTATGTGTGTGTGTGTATGTGTCAGTATTTGCTTGTTTGATTAACAGAGCAGGAATGATGATAGCCTTGAACCATTTCATTAATATTTAGTTGCATATATACTGGGTTCATGTTCCATATGTTAGCATTTCAGAATTAAATGCTCATCTTTAAGGTTGTATACAAATGAACACATTCCCACTTTGTCACAATCTGCATTTACAATACATCTACCCTGTTTTCCCCAAAATAAGACCTCCCCAGATAATAAGCCCACCCCGAAAATATTGCAACACAGCAGCAGTCTTGAGGTGACCACGCTTGCCACCACCTGCACCTCAAAAATAATAAGACCTCCCCATAAAGTAAGGCCAAGTTCTTATTTCGGAAATCAAAAGAAAATAAGACCCTGTCTTATTTTTGGGAAAACACTGTAAAATAATTAAATATCCAAATTGTTCCAGAGTGACAAAAGTCTCTTAAGACCTATGAGATAGCATTAAATGATTTTGGATCTTCCAGGTCAGAACAAGTATACTGTATAGGGACGTTTTTACTTTAGCCTCATGTCTGATATTCTTTATTTTTATATAGAATTTTAATGGGAATAAATATATCACCTAATCTTATTTGCAGTAATAAAACTATACTGAGAAACAGAAATAATAGACACAGAATCCTGTGTCTGCCCCCGAATTGATCACCCCCACCCCATCAAATTTGCGTTGCTTGTAAACCTACGGTAGTTAAGCTAGTTAAACCTTGGTCTTATAGGAAGAGGCTCAATAAAAATAGTTCTTTTTCAAAAATTAATGGAATTTGAAGAATATTCGATCTGGGTGATATGAATAGATTTGAATTTAAATAAACACACAAAATATGGGAAGCGTCTGCAAGAGGTATTTCAATATGTGGCGGAACTGGTACTCATTTGGGGATTATAAATTCAATAACATTATTTTTTTTTTGCAGGACACCAGTCATACTTCAAAAGAAATATGTGCTGGGCCTTAAAGACTCTTAATACCATCAATCAAAGAAATAGACATTCACCCGATGATATATGTAGCTCACAACTCAATTTTAATGACAAGAAGCTTCTAAACTATCCTTTAGATAGAGAAATGAATGAAAAGAGTCCATGACACAGTTTTACAAAAATGTAAACAAGAATTGAAATTCTTTAAAACAAACACGACACCAGGGATCTCCCACTTTACTATGTGGGATACAAGTAAAGCATATACAAGCGGCAAATTAAAAGAAACCAAATGAAAAATACAGTTAAAAGCCAAAATAAGAAAATTTGA